GCATGGGGCTTGTGCTTGGAGGGACTCAGCCAGTGGCGTTGACTGGTCACTGCGACTCTTCCTACGCTGACGACGTGGAGACTCAGCGCTCGACTCAGGGTTACTGCTTCAGTCTGGGAGCTGGTGCTGTGTTGTGGAGGTCTACACGGTCGTCGTCTGTGGCTACTTCCAGTGCAGAGGCAGAGATCTACGCTGGTGCCATGGCGGCACAGGAGCTTTGCTGGTTGACCTTCTTGCTTGCCGACCTTGGTTAGCGGCCTCGCTCTGCACCGACCTTGTACGCTGACAACAAGGCCATGATCCTCCTCTGTCGAGAGCCTTGACTGGAGAGCAGAGTGAAGCATATTGACGTGAGGTACTTCCTCCTGCGAGAGCTGCAGCGATGCGGCCAGGCACGCCTGGACTTTGTGGCCTCAGAGGCCAACACTGCAGACGTCTTCACCAAGGCCCTGGCGCTTGGTGACCACCACAGGTTCAGTGTGCAGTTGGGGCTTGTTGAGGTAGGCCCTCGGTTGCTGTAGTCTTGTTGCTTGCTCTGCTTGTTGTACTTTCCTATATATATCCTAGTGAACTCTTGAACTGGCCTTGTGGCCGCTTGCCTGCGCTCGGAATTTGTGTGGTGTCCTTGAGATCCACCCTGAGCTTGCTTTGCTTCTTGCCTTGACTGGTCTTGTGACCGTTTGTTCACCTTGCTTGCTCTGATGTCCCTCACTTAGCCTATGGGGGTGTGTCAAATGTTAATCTTGTGATAGGCTGTAGTGAGGTACTCTCTAGTGAGTACAACTTTGGTAGGTTTCCTATTTGTATCCTTCCCAACCCTAATTCAGTCATTCCGTTGCATTCTAACTTTGAGACCATGGACGCTAGGCACTCTGCCAGGGGTGAGCTGCCTGCACATGGTGAGCGGGCAAATCATTGCATCCTCACATTCTGGGACGTGTAATTGACTTCTTCGCCACTCCGGGACTCGGCGTGGACAATGAAGAGAGTTCTCGCATTCCACTATCCACCGGATGGCGCAAGAATGGCGATGTCCGAGAACCATTCCCCCCATGGACTCGCCTTTACAAAGTCCACTTTGCCACTAGGTGACTGCCCTTCGTCCTTGTGATGGCAACAACAGTGTGCACCTGCTTGCACAGGCAGGAGCGGGGAATGGGACGGACATGGGGGTTATATGGTGATATATGGTGATTTAGAAATCAAGCCGATGTTATGGTTTGTTTGTGAAATAGACGCATATGTGATGGGCTGACCAGAGCATCCACTCTTTTTTTTGTTGCTCACCTGTAGGCGATGTGACACGATGCCCTCTGTGGCGAGACGAGGCACTAGCTCGTCCATGTCGGGGCCCATGACAGTGCAATAAGCCCCCATGGACGGGCCCTCAAGAATTGTCGGGAACATGTCGCGGCATTTACGCATGAGCACATGTTCTTGCCGCCTCACTGCCTGCCACTGGGAATGGCACACAACATGGGGCGACGACTACGGAGCATTTTATATAAATGCCACATCACCTGACCATGCTGTCTTTATGGTATAATTTATGTAGGGCGGTCATATACCCACCTCTTTGAGTGCGGTGACGAAGCATATCCTCGTCCCCGACATGTTGTACGTCCCGGGTGCGCAGGCGAACTTCCAAACACGACATGTCCTTCGGAAGATTGAAATTGCCTTTAGGCTGCATGCGAGGCTGTACACGCGGGCAGTGGGAATGAAGACTCAAAAGCTGGGCACCTCGGGCAAGGCTGAAAAGTTTAGGAGAGCTGCCAACAGGGAACAACACCTTTTGCAGCGCATCAAGTCAGATGACGACAAGAAATGACAGTGGTTGTCGAGTTTCTCCTTTATACGGGACAACCCAAGGGCGGTCCTCAATCCGCCCTAGAAACAACCTCGAGGTGGGACAAGGCCTTAGCCCCTATGTATAGTTACGCCTGCTATCGTCTCATACACTTGCCCTCTTCGGTGTATGTTTCAGTTACCATAGAGCCAAAATACTGTCGGTGCCGAAAATATTAAGTGAAACAAATAGAATGATATAGAAAATGGAATAGTATTCCGATTTAGGTAAAATAAAGTGCAAATAAAAGAGAAAAATATGGAGAATAAGATAAAGGAAAATTATGGAAATAAGAATATGTTAAATGGCAGCGCACTCTCACACGCTGCTCCTCATCTCCGTGCCATGCGGCTAGCCCCTGAGGCTGACCTATATGCTCTTGACATCCCGACCCCTCACACATACCCTGAAGCAGTCTCGCGATGCTGGACCTCTTAGTGGATAGCATCCATGACATCTTGAAGGTCCACATGCACTTACATCGACTCAGTTCCCCCTTGGGTGAACGTTGACAATGGCATCTGGATATTCAAGGTGAAGCGCGTCAAAGTACAATCTCACTTGTAGGCTATAGTGGGGCACTCCTTATGGGGTACATTACTTCTAGGGTTAGTACTTGTACCCCAACTCTTGCTAATCCAATCATTCATGCACACTTGATTCTGACATGGTATTTAGAGCAGGAAACCTATTAGATTTTTAGGGCCCACCGATCGTTCCGCTAGCTCCTGCCCGAAGCGCCCTTGCGCTGTCCGGCCCTCTTGCACAGTGTCACGCTGCTTTGCAGCTACTCGCACTGCCTGCCCTAGCGCGCTGATCTACTGTCATGCGTGCCCCTGCTGCCCGCGAGCAGCCCCTGCCCCGCGCGCCCCTGCTGCCCGCGAACAGCCCCTGCCCCGCGCGCCCCTGCTACTTGCGAGCAGCCCCTGCCCCGTGCGCCACTGCTGCCTGCGAGCAGCCCCTGCCCCGAGCGCCCCGGCTGCCCGCGAGCAGCCCCTGCCCTGCGCGCCCCTTCTGCCCGCGAGCAGCTCCTACGCCAGCACGCCCCGCAGCCTAGCGCGCCAGCGCGCCCCGCAGCCTAGCGCGCCAGCGCGCCCCGCAGCCCAGCGCGCCCCGCAGCCCAGCGCGCCAGCGCGCCCCGCTGCTAAGCGCGCCAGCGCGCCCCGCAGCTCAGCGCACCAGCGCGCCCCACTGCGAAGCGCGCCAGCGCGCCCCACTGCGAAGCGCGCCAGCGCGCCCCGCAGCCCAGCGCACCAGTGCGCCCCGCAGCTCAGCGCGCCAGCGCGCCCTGCTACTAAGCGCGCCAGCGCGCTCTGCAACCCTAAACGCGCTAGTGCGCCTTGCTGCCCAGCGCGCCACTGCTGCATGAGCTGCTGCTACTGCTAAGCGCTGCTGTTGCTGCTCCTACTGCTACTGCAACGACTGCTGCTACTACTGCTGCTGCTGCTCGTGCTGCCACTGCTGGCACTACTGCTGTTACTGCACTAGCCTGTGCCCTGCTGCCCACGCACTCTACTGGCCTCCACAGTCACTACAGCAGTCGCTACTGCTGCCCTTGCGCTGCTGCTACTGACTGTCACTGCCTGTCATGGCCACTATCACGGTAGTCACAGCGGCTAGGGGTGGACAGCAGCAGCCACAGCCTCTCCCGGACACGCAATCCCCGCAGCAACTTTGCGAGTGGGTTATTCAGCGAGCCCGTCCAGGTGGTGGAGGCTTTGGTTTTCTGCGTACTGCACAGCGGCGGCAGCAGAGTCAGCAGGAGACATTCTCCCCGCATCTGCATAGTGAGTTGTTTTCTCAGCGATGTGTCCCTGGTTCTGGGTCTGCTGCCGCACTAGGTGCTTGTGAGTCTGCTGCCGCTCCAGGTGCTAGTGAGTCTGCTGCAGCTTTAGGTGCTCGTGCGTCTCCCGCCACAGGTCCTGCCTCAGCTGAGGCCTTGCACACTTTCACACTTGACTCAGGCGCGTCACGTTGTTTCTTTCGTTACTGCACCACACTCACACCACTTGCTGCACCGGTACCAGTCTCACTGGCTGACCCCACTGGGCGCCCAGTAGTCGCACGAGCCTCCACTGTCCTCCCGTGTCCAGCAGTCCCCTCCGGTTCTCTGTCAGGTCTCCACCTCCCCACGTTCTTGACGAACTTGGTGAGCAACGCTTGTCAAACTTATATGCTATAGTCTGTGTAGGTTGTAGTGGGGTAGTTCATATAAGGTACAACACTTTTAGGTTTCCTACTTGTACCCACCTGCTTGCCAGTTCAGTCATTCGTTCCTTCACTATTCTGACATGGTATTATGAGCAGGTTCCCTCGTGGGAACATTTTTTTTAGGGCCCACCATGATTAAAACCTTTTTTTCTTGCCCTGCCCGAAGCACGCCTCGCGCCTGCCTCACCTGCGCCGTCGCGCGCCCTGCCCTAGTGCCGCCCGTCGCGGCCCTGCCTTCTCGGCCCGTCGCGGCCCTCCCCTAACGGCCCGTCGCGGCCCCCTGCCTTCTCGGCCTGTCGCGGCCTTGCCCTGTCGCCACCTCGTCGCGGCCCCGACCTAGCCGCCTAGTCGCGGCCCTGCCCTGCCGCCACCCGCGGCCCTGCCTTGCCGCCCGTCGCGGCCTACCCTAGCCGCCCGTCGCAGCCCTACCCTGCCGCCCCTCGTCGCGGCCCCGACCTTGCCGCCCGCCGCGGCCCTTGCCCTGCCGCTGCTCGTCGCGGCCCTGCTCTACCACCGCCCAGCCACGGCCCTGCCCTGCTGCCGCCCTGTCGCGGCCCTGCTCTGCCGCCGACTCGTCACGGCCCTGCCCTTCAGCCGCCCCAGTCGCGGCCCTGCTCTACCGCCGCCAAGTCGCGGCCCTGCCATGCTGCCGCCCCAGTCGCGGCCCTGACCTAACCGCCAGCTGCGGCCCTGCCCTGCACCCGCCCCTGGTAAGCACCCACGCCGCCCGGCCGAGCCGCGCCGCCCTGCCGAGCCGCGCCGCCCTGCCGAGCCGCGCCGCCCAGCCGAGCCGCGCCACCCAGCCGAGCTGCGCCGCTCTTTCGAGCCACGCCGCCCTGCCGAGCCGCGCCGCCCTACTGAGCTGCACTGCCCTGCCCGCACTGCTCCTGCTGCTACTGCTGTTTCTGTTCCCACTGCTGCTACTGCTGCTACTGCCGCTATGGCTAGCCCTAATGTTCTTACCTTTGATGCTGAGGGGCGTGCGGTTGACTTTGATGTGTGGGTTGACGACATGCAGCTCTTTCTTCGGTGTGACTCTAAGGACGGAGTATCCCTTTTCGATCACACGTCCGGTGTCTCTCCTGCACCTGCTGCCACTGCTGACAGTACGGTTCGCTCGCAGTGGACCACTCGTGATGCTGTTGCTCGCCCAGCTGTTCGTAGTCACCTGCCGTCTGCTGAGCGCGCGCACTTTGGCCAGTACAAGACTGCTAAGTCTTTGTATGACGCTGTCGTAGCGCGCTACTCCTCCCCTGCCACTGCTGCCCTCAGCCGCCTCATGCTTCCGTACCTGTTCCCTGACCTTGCCGCCTTTGCTACAGTCGCTGACCTCATTACTCACCTCCGCACTAGTGACGCCCGCTACCGCGCTGCGCTTCCCACTGAGTTCTGTGCCAAGAACCCCCCCCCCCATGTACATCACCCTTTACTACCTAGTCACCCGTCTCCCTGACTCCCTTGCTTCAGTCAGGGACCACTTTCTCTCCCTTTGCCCCACCGAGCTCACCGTCGACCTGCTAGAGGAGCGCCTCACTGCAGCTGAGAAGAGTATCGTTGCTGTAGGTGCTTCTCGCGGCGACCCTCGTGCCCCTTTCTTTGAGGGGTGTTCCCCTGTCCCCCTTCTCCCCTCTGTTGCTTCTGCTGGTGCTGTCGACCTCGTTGGCACTGAGGAGGTCGGGGCTGCGTCTGCTCCTAGTGGGAGGCGCCGCAACAGCAAGGGCAAGGGGGGCAAGGGTGGTGGAGGGGACGGTGGGGGCGGCGGTGGAGGCGGTGGAGGAGGCGGAGGGGGTGGCGGTGGAGGTGGGGGTGGTGGTGGGAGTAGGGGCTTCGGTGGCGACGGTGGGGGTGGTGGAGGCAGCGGCAGCGGCGGTGGAGCGGCAGCGGTGGTGGAGGTGGTGGCGGCGGTGGTGCTGGTCGAGGTGGAGCCGCACAGCGTGGAGGCTTTGGTGGTAGCCAGCGCCAGCAGCAGCCGCGTTCCCGTGAGACCCCGTCGGCCTAGCAGCTTCGTGAGTGGTACGCTGGGCGTGGGAGGTCTGGGGGTGCTGGTCCCTGCACTTACGTTCTTCGCACCGGCGGGCGCCGTGGGGAGACGTGCGGGCTGCCACACACTACAAAGCGCTGCTTCGGTCGCCTGACTGTTGCCTGGCGCGCCCAGTTTCCTGACGATGTTGAGCTCCCTCGCTGGGGTGATCTGCTTAAGCAGAATGTGGCTATCTTTGATCTTGATTTCGATGCTATCCTTGCTGCCATGTATGCTGTGACTGATAGTGCTGAGGGTGACTGTTACCTGTGTGTACCGCCCGACCCGGGCATTGAGGCTGCTGCTCTAGGTGCTAGTGAGTCTGCTGCTCCAGGTGCTGGTGAGTCTGCTCTCTTTGGTACTGCACCTACTGAGGCCTTGCACACTTTCACACTTGACTGCGGTGCTTCGCGCTCTTTCTTTCGCGATAGCACCACACTCACGCCGCTCAATCGGCCGGTCGCAGTCTCCCTGGCTGACCCCTCTGGGGGTCCAGTCCTTGCTCACTCCTCCACGGTTTTACCGTGTCCTGCAGCCCCGTCAGGCTTGCTGTCGGGACTCCACCTCCCCTCGTTCTCTACGAACCTGGTGAGTGGAGCTGACCTCCAGGACGTGTGGGTTGACCAGTTCACCCCTGGAGGTCAGCGTGTGACCCACTGCACTTGCTCTCGGACGGGCCGCCACCTGGCCACGTTCACCCGTCGGCCTGGGTCGAGTCTGTACACACTGACTACTGCGTCTCCTCCGGTTGCTGCGTCTGGTCAGGTAGCCGCGTCTGGTCAGGTATTTGCTGCTGCGTCCAGGTCTAGTCCGGCGTCTGCCCCCTGCTCGTGTCGTCCTCTGTCACACCAGACTCTCCTTTGGCACCACCGCCTTGGTCACCCCTCCCTGCCTCGTCTTCGAGGTATGGCCTCCCGTACCCTTGTCTCTGGTCTCCCCCGGTCCCTCCCTCCCCTTCCTCCGGGGCCTGCGCCTACCTGTGTTCCTTGTGTCGAGGGCCGGCAGCACGCCGCTCCTCACTCCTCCGAGTTCCCTCCGACAGAGGCTCCCCTGCAGACTCTCCACATGGACGTGTGGGGCCCAGCCTGTGTCCGTGGACAGGGTCACGAGCGTTACTTCCTACTGGTCGTTGACGACTACTCGTGTTACACCACAGTCTTCCCCTTGCGCCGCAAGGGTGAGGTCACTGAGGTGTTGATCGACTGGATCCGCGGTGCCCATCGCCAGCTCAGCGAGAGTTTCGGCTCGGACCTTCCTGTTCTGCGTCTGCACTCAGACAGAGGTGGTGAGTTTTCCTCCGACCTTCTGAGGGCTTTCTATCGTGCGGAGGGAATCCGCCAGACGTTCACGCTTCCGGCCTCCCCACAGCAAAATGGGATTGCTGAGCGCCGCATTGGCATGGTCGTGGACGTCGCTCGTACGTCCATGATCCATGCGGCTGCTCCCCATTTTCTGTGGCCGTTCGCGGTTCAGTACTTTGCGCATCAGATCAACCTTTAGCCTCGTGTCTCCTTGCCGGAGACCACACCTACTCTGCGGTGGACGGGGAAGGTTGGCGATGCGTCTGTGTTCCGTGTCTGGGGATCTCGAGCTTTTGTCCGCGATTCTTCCGCGGACAAGCTGTCCTCCCGTGCTGTTCCCTGCGTCTTCCTTGGCTTCCCCCCTGACGCGCCTGGGTGGCAGTTTTACCACCCGACCACGCGTCGTGTTCTGTCCTCTCAGGACGTCACGTTTGACGAGTCGGTATCTTACTACCGTCTCTTTCCCTACCGCACTGCCCCTCTCCCCCCCCCGCCGCTCTTCCTAGCACCAGGTGCTCCTCCGGTAGACCCCCTCCCCCCTCAGGGTCCTGCCCCCTCAGGTGTGTCCCAGGTAGACCCTATCGAGCCTGTTGAGGTAGCTGTCGACTCTGGTACTGCTAGGGGTGCTGAGCCTGCGGGTGCGGGTGCGGGGCCTGGGGGTGCTGAGCCTGGGGTTCCAGAGTCTGGGGGTGCTGAGCCTGAGGGTGCGGAGCCTGGGGGTGCTGAGCCTGAGCGTGTGGAGCCTGGGGGTACTGAGCCTGGGGGTGCTGCGTCTGGGGGTGCTGAGCCTGAGCGTGCTGTGTCTGGAGGTCCTCCGGGTGTCTTGTCACGGCGGGAGTCCCTCTCTCCACAGCAGCTGCGAGAGTGGTACGCTCGGCGCTGTCGCCGTGTTGCTGGAGGTGCTGGAGTTGGAGCTGCTGGAGGTCCTGCTGGTGCTGGAGCTACTGGGGGCACTGGAGCCGCTGGTCCCGGAGGTGCTCGCACTGGAGTTGCTGGAGCTACTGGAGTTGGAGCTGCTGGAGGTCCTGCTGGTGCTGGAGCTGCTGGAGGTTCTGGAGCCGCTGGTCCCAGAGGTGCTCGTACTGGAGGTACTGGAGCTGCTGGAGCTGGTGGTGCTGCAGGAGTTGGAGCTGCTGCTGCTAGAGGTGCTACTGGTGCTGGAGCTGGTGGTGCAGCGGGAGTTGGAGCTGGTGCTACTGGAGGTGCTGCTTGTGCTGGAGCTGTTGATGCTGGAGGTGCTGCTGGAGCTGGAGCTGCTAGAGGTGCTGCAGCTGGTGGTGCTGCGGGAGTTGTAGCTGGGGACCCTGGAGCTGGGGGTACGGGTGCTGTCTCTGCTGGTTCTGGAGGCGCTGCACGGCCGCGGCCGTACTACGTTCCGCTCCTTCATCAGGTTCTTGGCCTCCCGCCTTCTACTGGTCCTACTCCTCCCTTACTGAGTCCACCACCTGTCCAGTCGCAGTCGCAGTTACAGCCAGCCTCTCCACTGCCTGGTCCTTCTCCTTACTCTGGACCGACTAGAGGTCTTACGGAGCGTCGTGAGCCTGAGTCTCGTCCTGCGTCACCTGAGTCTCGTCCTGCGTCGCCTGAGTCTCGTCCAGAGTCGCCTGTTCGCGCAGTCCGCACTGGTCGTCGTGTTCCGCGTCAGCGTCCTCCTCCTGTCCCCAGCACTCACTATATGACTCTGCGTCCTTCCACTGCTCCACAGCGTGTCCCTCTGCCGTCTCCTCCTGCGTCCTCTCTTCCTGACGGTCCGGACCCGGAGTCTGACTCCCTTCGTGCTGCTAGTCCTACTGTCACGCGTTTCCTGGCCACTGTTGTCACTGACCCTTCGTTTGAGTCCACTGCTGCGTCTGCTCTAGTTGCTGAGCTTGTTTACTTTGCTGCCGCCTGTCGTCTAGACTACGCCGCTAGCCTTGTTGCTGCGTCTGAGTCTGAGTCTGTCTGTCCTCCATCCGTCGGGGGTGAGTGTGCTCTTAGCACAGACGTCCTTGAGGACAGACAGGAGGAGTTTGAGTGCTTTGCCGCTGCTTTACCTCATCTCGTGTCCATGCTGCTTGCCCCTGAGGGAGACCCGGATGCACCAGACATCCCGACCCCGCGCTCTTACGCAGAGGCGATAGAGGGTCCCTACTCCTCTTAGTGGCAGACAGCCATGGACACAGAGATGGCTTCCTGGAAGTCCACAGGCACCTACGTTGACGAGGTTCCCCCGCCTGGGGCGAACATCGTCAGTGGCATGTGGATTTTCAGGATGAAGCGGCCACCGGGTTCTCCGCCTGTCTTCAAGGCGCGTTACGTTGCACGAGGCTTCAGTCAGCGACAGGGAGTTGACTTCTTCCATACCTTCTCCCCTACCCCGAAGATGACCACTCTTCGGGTGCTGCTGCACGTCGCCGCTCAGCGTGACTACGAGCTTCACTCTCTTGACTTCAGCACTGCTTTCCTACAGGGCAGCCTGCACGAGGAGATCTGGCTGCGCCGCCCACCTGGCTTCACTAGGTCGTTTCCTGCTGGTACCCAGTGGAGCCTCCGGCGGCCAGTCTACGGTCTCCGCCAGGCACCCCGTGAGTGGCACGACACACTGAGGACGACTCTTGCTGCTCTTGGGTTTGCTCCTTCTATTGCTGACCCATCACTGTTTCTACGCACCGACACCACTCTGCCGCCGTTCTACATTCTCGTGTACTTAGACGACTTGGTCTTTGCTACTGCTGACACTGAGGGACTCGCCCACGTGAAGTCGGAGCTGCAGAAGAGACACACGTGCACAGACCTGGGTGAGCTGACAAGCTATCTTGGCATGCGGATCACCCGGGACAGAGCACAGCGCACCATTTCCTTGACTCAGTCACACATGGTGCAGCAGGTCCTTCAGCGCTTCGGCTTCACATACTCCTCACCACAGTCCACTCCTCTGCCTACCGGTCACTCGCTCTCAGCTCCACCTTCGGACGAGTCTGTAGAGCCGAGTGGCCTGTATCCAGAGCTTGTGGGCTGCCTCATGTACCTGATGACCTGCACTCGACCTGACCTTGCCTACCCTCTTGGCATCCTAGCACGCTATGTCGCTCCTGGCCGACACAGGAAGGAGCACATGGATGCTGCTAAGAGGGTGTTGCGCTACTTGTGCAGTACGTCGGGCATGGGGCTCATGCTTGGAGGACGGGCTCGAGTTGTCCTCACTGGTCATGCAGACGCTTCTTGGGCTGACGACTTGGCTACGCAGCGGTCGTCACAGGGTTACACCTTCAGCCTTGGCTCCGGCTCTGTTTCTTGGCGGTCTACCCGCTCGTCTTCTGTTCTCAGCTCCAGTTGTGAGGCTGAGATCTACGCAGGGGCCATGGCTGCACAGGAGTTACGCTGGCTCACCTACCTGCTGATCGACCTGGGAGAGCCGCCTCGTTCTCCTCCAGTGATGTACGTCGACAACAAGGCCATGATTGCCTTGTGTCAGGAGCACAGACTGGAGCACAAAACAAAGCACATCGCTCTGCGCTACTTCCTTGCTCGAGAGTTGCAGCAGCGTGGTCAGCTTCGTCTTGCTTACGTGGCCACTCGGGCCAACACTGCTGATGTCTTCACCAAGGGGCTTCAGCCTTGTGATCATCAGCGTTTCTGTACTGTTCTAGGCCTTGTGCCTACTGTGCCTCACTTACTTACTTCTTGACTCTGCTTGTACTGTGATCTCTATACATATACCTGCATGCTTACACTTGCTAGGTTGTGATCACTGTATTGCTTGTTCTCCTTTATATAACTCTGCATGTGAACTGGCCTTGTTGCCATTTGCTTGTGCTGAGAATGCGTGGTGACGTCGTGATCCACCCTGAGCTTGCTTTGCCTTTCTTGACCGGTCTTGTGACCTCTTGTTCTCCCCCACTTTGCCTATGGGGGTGTGTCAAACTTATATGCTATAGTCTGTGTAGGCTGTAGTGGGGTAGTTCATATAGGGTACAACACTTTTAGGTTTCCTACTTGTACCCACCTGCTTGCTAGTTCAGTCATTCATTCCTTCACTATTCTGACAACGCTGCCATTCAGGATGTCTGGGTTGATACCTTTATTCCTGGAGGGCAGCGTGTGGCGATCTGTACGTGCTCCCGGACTGGCCGTCTCCTTGCTACGTTCACTCGACCGCCTGGTTCTAGTCTGTACACAGTGACCACTGCGTCTGCACAGGTGGTTGAGTCAGGTCAGGTGGCTGCGTCGAGTCAGGTGTCTGCGTCTGGTCAGCTTGCAGCGTCTTGCTCATGTCGGGTACTCTCCCATCAGACTCTCCTCTGGCACCACCGCCTCGGTCACCCCTCCCTGCCGCGTCTCTGCAACATGCACTCCCGTCTCCTTGTCTCTGGCCTTCCCAGGTCCCTGCCCTCCCTCCTGCGCTCGCCTGCCCGCCGTGCCTTCCCTACGTTGAGGGGCGGCGGCGCGCCGCTCCTCACTCCTCCGAGTTTCCTCCGACCACTGCTCCTCTGCAGACTCTCCACATGGACGTTTGGGGCCCGGCCCCCGTCGGTGGAACGGACCAGGAGCGCTACTTCCTGCTGGTTGTTGACGACTACACACGCTACACCACTGTCTTCCCCTTGCGGCGCAAGGCGGACGTCAGCGATGTTTTGATCCCCTGGATCCGTGCTACTCGTCGCCAGCTGCGCGAGCGGTTTCGTCAGGACTTCCCAGTCCTGCGTCTGGACTCTGACAGGGGCGGTGAGTTCTCTTCTTACCTCCTTGCGGAGTTCTGTCGAGACGAGGGCATCCGCCACACGTTCACGCTTCCGGCCTCTCCTCAGCAAAATGGGATTTCTGAGCGTCGGATTGGCTTGATCATGGAGGTTGCTCATACCTCCATGATCCATACGACTGCTCCCCATTTCCTGTGGACGTTTGCGGTCCGATACGCTGCGCATCAGCTCAACCTCTGGCCCCGTGTCTTTGAGCCAGAGACCTCGCCCACATTCCGGTGGACGGGGGCCCTAGAGTGGGTTGGAACCATAAGCTTGTGCATCATGTTATAACTTAAACCTCATATATGACTCTGTTTGGATCCTGGTGTCTTTCCAGGCTGTTTGAACTACTGTTGTATTTTATCTCTCACTCTTGTAGGTTTCTATAGGCAAATTCTGGGATATGGCATTCATGATGTCTCTTATTTCTAGTTTTTTATTATGTATGTGTTTATCTGCATTGCCAGTTAATAGATTGTAATGTGCAATTTCACAGTGCTTGAAACGGTCAAGGCACGCCCAAACCTGTTCATGATTCTAATGAATACAATCAACAGGGGGAGACACTGCCGACCTATGCACGGACAATGTTTAAATCATCATTCCCATAAAATGAATGCTCGAGCTATCCTAGAACACTCCTGCAGCTTCCCCCTTTGTACAAGCATGCTAGATAATTGTTCTGAGGGATGCTTTCGGTCGCTTTTTGGAACGGAAATGGATGTGACGGCTTAGTCAACAACCTGCTATTTGTGCTCATCGTCGCACCAGCCGGAATTGCCTTACGAGTCAGCGGCAATACGTGCTTTGCCTAAATTTCCCTCTAGAATGTTGGCTCATGTGATGCTTCTTCTGCACGAGAGTGGGTTCGATATTTGGGTTTGGGATTGAGGAAAGAAAAGCCTTGGGTATATGGGCATGTGATTGCATCCGCTACGGATTCGCGTGAAAAATAGGTGTTGCACATTTGTAGAGGTGGTCGACAATTTGTATTCAGATCCGAAATTGTGCTTTCACATTCGTCTAGATGAATTTCATTATCATCTATCGCGTGGTATGTGTACAAGTTAGCTGGTGGAACATGTTTGCATTCTCATTATCATGTTTGCAAAATAAAATCATATATTTGTTTTGCAATTAAAGCTTAGAAGTAAGACAAGGTGTGCTAGAGACGGTCAATTTTACTTAAAAAAAGAGCAAACAAAAACAATATGTACACACTCAATCCAACAATAACCAGTTCTCGCAACATTTTTAAACATTCTATTAAGCCAGCAGCAATGAGCTCAGTTAATAAACACATGCATAAGGGACAGCGTAGGAAATACCATATCATGGTCCTCCAATATGTGGAATTACTGCTGTCAGACATATATGACTTAGCCTGTGTAGGCTATAGTGGGGTAGACACTAAGGGGTACAAGTTTCTAGGGTTTCATATTTGTACCCAACACTTTCCTAGTTCATTCATTCCTCATTTCTTCATATGGTATAGAGCGGGTTCCCTAGTGGGACCGTTTCTTCCTTGGGCCCACCTTCGAAATTTTTTTTAGCCTGCCCTAAATGCGCTTCGCGTCCTGCCCTAAAACTTCGCGGCCCCCCTTAGCGGCCCCCCTTCGCGGCCCCTTTGCGGTCCCGGTCGCGACCCCTTAGCGGCCCCGCGGCCCCTCTTAAGGCCCTTCGCGGCCCCCTCACGGCCCTTCGCGGCCCCTTCGCGGCCCTTCGCGGCCCCCCTCTCGGCCCTTCGCGGCCTCTTCGCGGCCCTTCGCGGCCCTTTGCGGCCCCCTCCACGGCTCTTCGCGGCCCGCCGTAGCCGCCCTGCCGCCCCGTTGCTGCCGCCCCAGCAGCAGCTGCCGTCGCGCCTACTGCCGCTGCCGCTTCCGCCACGACCGTTCGCCGCCGCCGCTGCTGCCGTGACAGCCGCCGCCGCTGCTGTCGTCACAGCCGCCGCCGCTCCTGCCGTGACAGCTACCGCCGCTGGCTGCTGAGACAGCCGCCGCCGCCACTGCCGTGGCAGCCGCCGCCGCCATCCCGGCCCTGCCCTGCAGCCGAGTCGCGGCCCTGCCCTGCCGCCCTGTCGCGGCCCTGATCCTGCCGACGCACCTCGGCCCTGCCCCACCACTTGCGGGCTTCTACCCACCCGCCCCTGGTAAGCGCACCGCCGAGCCGCGCCCCTCCTGCTGCTGCTACTGCTAGCCTGCTTCTGCTGTTGCTGCTGCTAGCCTGCTGCTGCTGCTGTCATGGCTAGTCCCAACGTTCTTACCTTTGATGCTGAGGGTCGAGCGGTAGACTTTGAGGTCTGGATAAATGATCTGCAGCTTTTCCTGCAGTGCGATAGCAAAGACGGCCTCTCACTGTTCGATCTCACGTCTGGTGCCTCTGCTGCCCCTGCTGCTGATGCTGCTAGTACTGTTCGCTCGGTCTGGACCACGCGCGATGCTGCTGCTCGCCTTGCTGTGCGTAGTCACCTGCCCTCCTCTGAGCGCGCGCACTTTAGTCAGTACAAGAGTGCTAGCACTCTGTACACTGATGTTGTTGCACGCTACTCCTCCCTTGCCACTGCTGCCCTTAGCCGCCTCATGCTGCCGTACCTGTTCCCTGACCTAGCCGCTTTTGCCACAGTCGCTGACCTCATTACGCACCTCCGCACTAGTGACACCCGCTACCGCGCTGCGCTTCCTGCCGAGTTCTGTGCCAAGAACCCCCCCCCTATGTACATAACTCTCTACTACCTCATCACCCGGCTCCCTGACTCCCTCCGTTCGGTCAGGGACCACTTCCTCTCCCTCTGCCCCACCACGCTCACCGTTGACCTCCTCGAGGAGCACCTCCTTGCAGCTGAGAAGAGTATAGTCGCTGTAGGAGCCTCTCGTGGTGACCCCCGTGCCCCTTTCTTTGAGGGGTGCTCCCCCGTCCCTCTTTTGCCTTCTGTTGCCTCTGCTGCTGCTGTCGACCTCGATGGCACCGAGTCGGTCGGCACTGCGTCTGCCCCTAGTGGCAAGCGCCGCAACAGCAAGGGCAAGTGGGGCAAGGGGGGTGGAGGGGGCGGCGGGGGCGGCGGTAGTGGCGGTGGAGGAGGAGGAGGAGGGGGTGGGGGTGGAGGTGGGAGTGGTGGCGGGACTGGGGGCTTAGGTGGCGGCGGTGGAGGTGGAGGCGGCGGAGGCAGCGGGAGTGGGGGTGGAGGTGGCGGCGGCGGCGGAGGAGGTGGGGGTGGCGGGGGTGGTGGTGGGCAGCGGGGAGGCTCTAGCGGTGGCCAGCGCCAGCAGCAGCAGCGCTCCCGTGAGACCCCGTCGCCTCAGCAGCTACGTGAGTGGTACGCTGGGCGTGGGAGGTCTGGGGGTGCTGGTCCCTGCACCTACGTTCTTTGCACCGGCGACCGCAGTGGAGAGACGTGCGGAGGCCCGCACACCACACCACGCTGCTTCGGCCGCCTGACTGACGCCTGGCGCACTCAGTTCCCTGGCTCCTCGGAGATCCCTCGCTGGGATATTCTGCTTAAGTCGGGGGTTGCTATCTTTGATCTTGATTATGATGCTATCCTTGCTGCTATGTATGCTGTGTCTATTAGTGATGAGGGTGACTGTTACCTGTGTGTTCCGCCCGACCCGGGCATTAAGTCTGCTGCTCCAGGTGCTGGTGAGGCTGCTCCAGGTGCTGGTGAGGCTGCTGCTCTAGGTGCTAGTGAGTCTGCTGCTCCAGGTGCTGGTGAGGCTGCTCTCTCAGGTACCGCGTCGGCTCAGGTCTTGCACACTTTCACCCTTGACTCGGGTGCCTCCCGCTCCTTCTTTCGCGACTGCACCACCCTCTCGCCGCTCAGTCGGCCGGTGGCAGTCTCTCTGGATGACCCCTCTGGGGGACCAGTTGTGGCCCGTTCCTCCACTGTCCTCCCATGTCCTGCTGTTCCGTCCGGCTCGCTGTCTGGTCTTCACCTCCCCTCGTTCTCTACGAACTTGGTGGCGGGTGCTGATCTTCAGGATGGGGGTGTTCACCAGTTCACCCCTGCCCACCAGCGTGTGACGCACTGCACGTGTGCTCGGACGGGTCGTCACCTGGCCACGTTCACCCGTAGGCCAGGGTCCAGCCTGTACACCCTTACCACTGAGTCTCCTCCTCGTCAGGTAGCCGCGTCGGGTCAGGTGTTTGCTGCAGTGTCCTGGTCTGGCCCTGAGTCTGCCCCCTGCTCGTGTCGCCTCCTGGCCCACGAGACTCTTCTTTGGCACCACCGCCTTGGTCACCCCTCCCTGCCTCGTCTTCGAGGCATGGCCTCCCGTGTCCTGGTCTTGGGTCTTCCTGAGTCCCTCCCTCCCCTTCCTCCGGGGCCTGCCCCTACCTGCGTTCCCTGCGTCGAGGGTCGGCAACGCGCCGCTCCTCACTCCTCCGAGTTTCCTCCAACAGAGGCCCCACTGCAGACTCTTCACATGGACGTGTGGGGCCCAGCCCGCGTCCGTGGACAGGGTCACGAGCGTTACTTCCTGCTGGGCGTTGACGACTACTCGCGTTACACCACAGTCTTCCCCTTGCGCCGCAAGGGTGAGGTCACTGAGGTGTTGATCGACTGGATCCGCGCTGCTCGTCTCCAGCTCAGAGAGAGTTTCGGCTCGGACTTTCCTGTTGTGCGTCTGCACTCAGACAGAGGTGGAGAGTTTTCCTCCGACCTTCTGCAGGCCTACTGTCGGGCGGAGGGCATCCGCCAGACGTTCACGCTTCCGGCCTCTCCACAGCAAAATGGGATTGCCGAGCGCCGCATTGGCATGGTCATGGATGTCGCTCGTACGTCCATGATCCATGCGGCTACTCCCCATTATCTGTGGCCGTTCGCGGTTCAGTACGCGGCGCATCAGATCAACCTTCAGCCCCGGGTCTCCATGCCGGAGACCTCCCCCACTCTGCGGTGGACGGGGAAGGTTGGCGATGCGTCTGCGTTCCGTGTCTGGGGATCTCGAGCTTTCGTCCGCGACTTGTCGGCGGATAAGCTGTCCTCCCGTGCCGTTCCCTGCGTCTTCCTTGGATTCCCCCCTGACGCGCCTGGCTGGCGGTTTTACCACCCCACCTCGCGCCGTGTTCTGTCCTCTCAGGACGTCACGTTTGACGAGTCGGTTCCCTACTACCGTATCTTCCCCTACCGCACTGCCGCCCTCCCCCCCCCGCCGCTCTTCCTCGCGCCAGGTCCTCCCCAGGTTGACCCCCTCCCCCCTCAGGGTCCTGCCCCCTCAGGTGTGTCCCAGGTAGACGCAGTCGAGCCTGTCGAGGTAGCTGTTGACTCTGGTGCTGGGTCTGGGGGTGCTGAGCCTGAGCGTGCGGAGCCTGGGGGTGCAGAGCCTGGGGGTGCTGAGCCTGGGGTTGCTGAGTCTGGGGGTGCTGAGACTGGAGGTCCTCCGAGTGCCCCGTTGCGGCGGGAGCCTCTCTCTCCACGGCAGCTTCGTGAGTGGTACGCTCGGCGCTGTAGCCGTGCTGCTGGAGCTAGGGGGCCTACTGCTGGAGGTGCTGCTGGTGCTGGGGCTACTGGAGGTGCTCCTGGTGCTGGTGCTGGAGCTACTGGAGGTGCTGCTGATGCTGGTGCTGCTGGAGGTGCTGTTGGTGCTGGAGCTGCTGGAGGTGCTGCTGGTGCTGGACCTACTGGAGGTGCTGCTAGTGCTGGAGCTGCTGGAGGTGCTGCTGGTGCTGGAGCTACTGGAGGTGCTGCTGGTGCTGGAGCTGCTGGAGGTGCTGCTGGTGCTGGAGCTGCTGGAGGTGCTGCTGGTGCTGGACCTACTGGAGGTTCTGCTGGTGCTGGAGCTGCTGGAGGTGCTGCTGGTGCTGGAGCTGCTGGGGCCGCTGGCCCTGGAGGTGCTCGTACTGGAGGTACTGGAGGTGCTGCGGGAGTTGTAGCTGGAGACCCTGGAGCTGAGGGTACTGGTGCTGTCTCTGCTGGTTCTGGAGGCGCTGCGCGGCCGCAGCCGTACTTCATTCCGCTCTTTCAGCAGGTTCTTGGTCTCCCGCCTGCTACTGGTCCTACTCCCTCTTTAGCCTGTCCTCTGCCTGTCCAGTCGCAGTCACAGTTACAGCCTGCCTCGCCACTCCCTGGTCCTTCTCCCTACACTGGTCCGACAGGAGGTCTTACGGAGCGTCGTGAGCCTGAGTCTCGTCCTGCGTCGCCTGAGTCTCGTTCTGCGTCGCCTGTTCGTGCTGCTCGCACTGGTCGTCGTGTTCCGCGTCAGCGTCCTCCTGCTGTCCCCGGCACACACCGGATGTCGCTTCGTCCTTCCACTGCTCCACAGCGTGTCCCTCTGCAGTCTCCTCCCGCGTCCTCTCTTCCTGACGTCCCTGACCCGCCGTCAGACCTTGCTCGCGCTGCCAGTCCTACTGTCACGCGTCTTCTCGCTACTGTTGTCACTGACCCTTCCTTTGAGACTACGTCTGCGTCGGCTCTTGTAGCTGAGCTTGTCGACTTTGCTGCTCACTGTCGTCTCGACTACGCCGCTAGTCTAGTTGCTGAGTCTGAGTCTGTCTGTCCTCCGTCCGTCGGGGGTGAGTGTGCTCTTGGCACGGACGTCCTTGAGGACAGGCAGGAGGAGTTTGAGTGCTTTGCCGCTGCTTTATCTCATCTCGTGTCCATGCTGATTGCCCCTGAGGGAGACCCGGATGCACCAGACATCCCGACCCCGCGCTCTTACGCAGAGGCGATAGAGGGTCCATACTCCTCTCAGTGGCTGTCAGCCATGGACGCAGAGATGGCTTCTTGGAAGTCCACAGGCACCTACGTCGTCGAGGTTCCCCCGCCTGGGGCGAACATCGTCAGTGGCATGTGGATTTTCAGGGTGAAGCGGCCGTCGGGTTCTCCGCCTATCTTCAAGGCGCGTTACGTTGCACGAGGCTTCAGTCAGCGTGAGGGAGTTGACTTCTTCCAGACCTTCTCCCCTACCCCGAAGATGACCACTCTTCGGGTTCTGCTGCACGTCGCCGCTCAGCGTGACTACGAGCTTCACTCTCTTGACTTCAGCACTGCTTTCCTACAGGGCAGCCTGCACGAGGAGATCTGGCTGCGCCGCCCACCTGGCTTCACTGGGTCGTTTCCTCCTGGTACCCAGTGGAGCCTCCGGCGGCCTGTCTACGGTCTCCGCCAGGCACCCCGTGAGTGGCACGACACACTGAGGACGACTCTTGCTGCTCTTGGGTTTGCTCCTTCTACTGCTGACCCGTCGCTGTTTCTACGCACCGACACCACTCTGCCGCCGTTCTACGTTCTCGTGTACGTAGACGACCTGGTCTTTGCTACTGCTGACACGGAGGCACTCGCCCACGTGAAGTCGGAGCTGCAGAAGAGACACACGTGCACAGACTTGGGTGAGCTGACAAGCTATCTTGGCTTGCGGATCACCCGGGACAGAGCACAGCGCACCATTACCTTGACTCAGTCACACATGGTGCAGCAGGTCCTTCAGCGCTTCCGCTTCACGTACTCCTCGCCACAGCCCACTCCTCTGCCTACCCGCCACTCGCTCTCAGCTCTGCCTTCGGATGAGTCCGTAGAGCCGAGTGGCCCGTATCCAGAGCTTGTGGGCTGCCTCATGTACCTGATGACCTGCACTCGACCTGACCTAGCCTACCCTCTTAGCATCCTAGCACGCTATGTTGCTCCTGGCCGACACAGGAAGGAGCACATGGATGCTGCTAAGAGGGTGTTGCGCTACTTGTGCAGTACGTCGGGCATGGGGCTCGTGCTTGGAGGACGGGCTCGAGTTGTCCTCACTGGTCACGCAGACGCCTCTTGGGCTGACGACCTGGCTACTCAGCGGTCGTCACAGGGTTACACCTTCAGCCTTGGTTCGGGCTCTGTTTCGTGGCGGTCTACCCGCTCGTCTTCTGTTCTCGGCTCCAGCTGTGAGGCCGAGATCTACGCAGGGGCCATGGCTGCACAGGAGTTACGCTGGCTCACCTACCTGCTGACCGACCTGGGAGAGCCGCCTCGTTCTCCTCCAGTGATGTACGTAGACAACAAGGCCATGCTGGCCTTGTGTCAGGAGCACAGACTGGAGCACAGAACGAAGCACATTGCTCTTCGCTACTTCCTTGCACGTGAGCTGCAGCAGCGTGGCCAGCTGCGCCTTGCTTACGTGGCCTCTCAGGCCAACACTGCTGATATCTTTACCAAGGCACTTCAGCCTTGTGATCATCAGCGGTTCTGTACTATGTTAGGTCTTGTGCCTACCTGGCCTCACTTGCTTACCTCTTGACTTTACTTGTACTGTGATCTATATATACCTGCACCTGCATGCTTACCCTTGCTAGGTTGCGATCACTGTCTTGCTTGTTCACCTTGATTTATAATCCTGCATGTGAACTGGCCTTGTGGCCGTTGAACTTGTGCTCGGAATGTGTGGTGACGTTGTGATCCACCCTGAGCTTGCTTTGCTTTGCTTGACTGGTCTTGTGACCCCTTGTTCTCCCCCACTTTGCCTATGGGGGTGTGTCAGACATATATGACTTAGCCTGTGTAGGCTATAGTGGGGTAGACACTAAGGGGTACAAGTTTCTAGGGTTTCATATTTGTACCCAACACTTTCCTAGTTCATTCATTCCTCATTTCTTCACAACTGCTACAATAATGTCTTTTCTGCTTGTCAAAATCTATATATATTTAAAGAATGCGTCCTTCAAAAACTGTTACGGGTGCAATTGAACGAGTGAGTGAAGATTGCAATATTGAGTCAAACGAGTACGAATGTGAGCAAATATTTATAGCAAAAACGGCAAACAGGAATGCAGTGCGTGCGAGCTAGCTAGTGCGATGCTAGCCCCGAAGCGTAGGCCGACCCGGCCAAGTCCAACGGTGCAAGGTTTGGCAAAAGTGACGCGCGAATGTGGCGAACACGGTTAGCAGTAATGGGTGAAGAAACTGTCCGTCTTGTATGCGTTGCTGAGGTGCACAGTAAGGAATGTCGAAACAAACCTTACACTTCCCCCCTCTTCAAGAAGCCCCTCCACTAAGCGAGTGCGTGTATATCGCGGAATCCCCGGCTTCGCAGGTACACTTGGAGGACATGGTGCTTTTCGATGCTGCCCAGGGGCACCCTGCTGTCTTCGGTTGGGGTGCGATCTTTCCAGCGGACGAGGAATTCGATCCTCCGAGACCCTTGGGGGTGACGAATCCAATGGGTCTGAATTTTCTCGGGGTCGACGACGGGCTTTGATGCCGGACGAGTCGTCGAGGGTGGTCGGTGGCATGGCAGTTCGCTTGTGGTCGGGATGTACTGGCGAAGTAAACTGACGTGGAATGACGGGCTGATGTACCAGTCGGCAGGTAACAGGAGATGGGCGGTGACGGGCGGGAGTAGGTTCTGGGTGTCGAGCAGAATGTAGTCTCCTGAATGGTATGTGACGGGGCGGCGATGGCGGTCAGCGTTTCTCTTAGTGATGACATTCTCTTTTTTAATTGCCTACGCTGCGCGTGTTCGGGCATTCTCCAGAATCTCAGCGAAATATTGCGCTCGTGGTGTCGGGTTGTCCGGACTCGGCGTCATGGGCACTGTAGGGTTCTGCCCATAATTTAGGTAGAACAGCGACTACTGTGTGGTTGCTGACGTGGCATTGTCGTAAACGAACTCTTTCAACGGCAACTGCTGCTCCCCGTTTGCGGGGTCGTCACACGTGGCACAAATCAGTTGCCCCATGGTCTGGTTCGTTCTCTCGGTCTGTTACTGGGTCCAGGGGTGGTAGGACGAACTGAATAGTGGTCGGGTCCCAAACTGCTCCCAAAGATTCTTCCAAAAGTTGCTTGTAAACTTCGTGTCCCTGTCGCTGATGATTGCTGCTGGTATCCCGTGATGGCGAACGACGGATGTGATGAACAGGTGAGTGGTTTCTTGGGCCGAGATCGGTTTCTTGCACGCAATGAAATGAGCCATTTTTTTCAGTATGAACGACGACCATGACCTTGTCGTTACTACCGGGGCTTGAAATCCATGGTCACCTGCTGCCAGGCTCGTTCGGGTGGCGGAATTGGTTGTAATTGACCGCCTTCTTCCGCGGACTTTTCATCACCTGGCACGTGGGGCACGATCCCACGTGGTGCTGCACATCGGTCAACAGTTCCGGCCAGTAATAGTACCGCTGTAGTTGTTTTCGCGTTTGTTTCTACCCTGAAATGACCCGAGGTAACCCCGTCATGTGCTGCTTGCGGTAGTAAATCCCGTAGCAGTGAATATGCTGGTACCCAGATGAAGTTGGTTCCGGTCTTACGTAATAAACTCCCTTAGCCTCCTGTCAGCTGCTGCGAATTCCCAGTGGTGAAAAATGGATCGATGTGGTAGCCGTGGGTGAATGGTCCGGTCAGTAGCGGGTTGGATTGGACGAGTAGTATGCCGTGTAGTTGGGACGTGGGGAGGGTGAGGGCGTCGGCGATGTTCGATGCACCTTTTTTTTACGTTACTGTATAGTGGAAGTTGGACTCCATATAGCCCAACAAGTGGATCTATCGTGGGTTTAGTTTCGGTTCGGCGCGAAGGTACTATAGCGAGCGATGGTATGTCCGTACGGTCACGTCTGCTCCTATCAGGTAGCACCGCCACACCTTGAACGCGTGCACGATGGCAAGCATCTCACGATCATGTATCGGATAATTGCGATCGGGTGGATGAAGTTTGCGGGACTCGTACGCGATTGGCTAAAGGCCGTTCCTGAAGTTCTGCATCAGTACGGCTCCAACGGCGATGTTACTTGCGTCGGTGACAAGCTCAAACGGGTGGTGAGGATCAGCGATGTGAAAAGGCACAAAATTTCTTTTAGGGCAGAAATGGCAGCTTGCTCTTTCTCCCCCAAGTGTACTCAACCTCCTTCCTCAGCAGGTCGGTCAGCGGGGCAGTCAGCTTCGCCATGTTGGGGACGAACCGGAGCACGTAGTTGACGAACCCAGAAAAACTTTGCAACTCGATTCAGGTTGGTCGGCGGGTTCCAGGCCTGAGTCGTCGCGCTCTTCTTTGGGTCTATTTCCACGCCGTTGGTCGAAATAACGTGGCCCAAAAACTCCACTCTGTCCTGTAGAAACTCACATTTAGAAGTGTTCATGAGGAGGCGGTGTTCAACTAAAACCTTAAAAACTGCTTCAATGTCCCGTAAGTGGTGTGTTCTGCCGAGGCTGTAAACTAGTATGTCATCTTAAGTAGAGAATGACTAACTTATCTAAAAGCGGGCGGAATGCCTCGTTCATCGTCATTTGGAAGGTCGCGGGGGCATTGGTCAGTCCGAAGGGCATGACTGTATATTCGAAAGAGCCGTAGTGGGTCCAGAAGGAAGTTTCCAGTCAGTCGAGTGGGTTGACGCGAATTTGATGGTAACCCCTTCTAAGGTCAATCTTTGAAAAGCAAGTTGTGCAAAGTTGGTCGATCAGTTCGTCGGCTCGCAGGATCGGGTAACGTGATTTGATGGTAACTTTGTTTAGTACACGGTAGTCGATACACATGCGAAATCCCCCTTCCTTTTTCGGCGTTAATAAGATCAATGCGGTGAACTGTGACGAGCTCGGGTGAATGATTTTTTTTCTCGAGCAAGTTATCCAGCTGCTTCCGAAGTTCGTCCAGCTCGGGCTGGGTCAGTCTGAACTGTCGCTCTACTGTCGGCTCTGCCCCCGGTTCCAACTGTATACTGTGGGCGTGCGGTCACTGAGGTGGCAGCCCCTCTCGTAAATCGTCGGGGAATATCTCCTTGTACTGCCTCTGGATTTCTGCCAGGTCATCCAATACGGCGGCGAGCAGTTTCTGTAAGTCGCTTGGTTGCTCTGCTGCCTCGGCTTCACAGAAGTCAACAGCATACACAGCAGCTCCTGCCGCTACGGCGCGTTTCATCGTGATGGCATTGATTCGAATCGACGAAGACTCAGGCGAGCTCCAGCGAGGTAGGGTGATGCTGTTACCGTTGACTTGCATGCTGTAGTTAGTCGTCGTCTAGTCTATTTGTGGGTTATGTCATTGCAGCCAATCACGACTGAGTAAAATGTCGGTTCTATCGAGGGTTGTGGCCAGCATTTTCTGGGTGAATGTGAAGTTACCCCCGCAGCGGATCCAAACTCGGTCCACGGGTTCCCGTATCGCCAGTGCATTGTCGTCGACCAGTCTTGCGTCGATCTTAGGTAAGCATCGGATTAGTGGCAGTTGCAGTTTCCGTGCTGTAGCAGTGTTGATTAGGTTGTGACTAGCTCATCTGTCAACAAATTTTTTAACTAAGTCTATGTGAATTTTCCGTCTGTGCAGTATTGGGTTGTCTACCATGGTACCCTCCTTGTTTATCCGAGTGTGATCGACCGCGTGAATCGGTACTGTCACTCGGTGAGGGTCGGTTGGGTCGGGCGAGCGGCGAGTCTGGTTAGTAGCGGGCCCGTCTGCTACTGACTCCTAGCGTTTCCCTACTGCTTAGACCCTTTCTGCTGCTCAGCTCCCTTATTCCCCTTAGCCTCTGGACATTCGCTTTTGCGGTGCCCGGGCCGATTGCACGCGAAGAAGCGCCCTTTAAACGGTGCGGAAGTGACATTCGCGGCGACGGCGCATATCGTGGCGCTCTCGTTCGTCCCCAATTGTTGTAGGACCCCATTCTTGGCCAGCAGAGAAAATCGATTTTTCCCACCATGGCGAGGATTTTGTGAAGTCCGTGACGCCACGGAGCAGGATCTCTTGCGCGATTTCGTTTTTAAGGCCTCCGACGTAGCGATCGACGTGCTCGGCTTCATGCATGTACCCCGCTTGCTCACACAGCGCCAGAAATCCACAGTCTTGGACGGAACCGAGTTGACGCCAAGTGCGCAGCTTCTAGCGTGCGGAAATTGACACCGCGATTGGCTCGAATCTCCCACACAGACCCGTGCACTACGCATCCCACGTGTGATACTGGGTGACTTTGCTGTCAGAATGTTATGTTTCTCTAGTCTGCAGTGGGGTAATCTATAGTGAGTACAGCCCTGTTAGGGTTTGCTATATGTATCCCAATGTTTGCTAGTGAACCTCCTCCTTTGCCTATTTTCTCTTGCCTAGCTAGCTAAACCCTAGCTATGGCTCCTCGTTCTGCCTACTATTCTGACATGGTATTAGAGCCTTTGCGCTCCTGGCCTGTGGGCCCACATGCTTCCGCTGCTGCTGTCCTGTCTGTCGCGCGCCCCGTGGCGCGCAACGTTTTTTCTTCCCGCCACGCGCTTCTGCCCGCCGTGCGCTCGGGGCGCGCGGCGGTTTTCTGCCCGCCGTGCGCCCCG